CCAGTTGACTAATTACAGTTTAAGTCACTTCCGTGTTGGCTTCACGAGAGAGAGCGGGAGGTTGCCGTTTGGGTTGGAATCAATTTCAGAATTATTTATTTATTTATTTTTTCCATGCAGCTGATGAATGATAAAAGCATTGGCAGCCAATTAAAATCCACACTTTACTATAAAGAGCTCAAGCATTTAAAGTGGCAGACAACACAACTGCAGAAAACAATGTTATTGTCCATTGGTGTGGAGGCTAATATATACTGTAAGTATATAATTGATTTGGAGGTAGAATTGGTATTTGCTGAATTACAGTTCAAAGAATTTCAACATAACTTTGTTGACAAAACATAAATAATTTAATTATGATTAATTATGCCTATATATTGCTTTATATGTAGACATAATTAGTTAGAATTAATCATCATTATCATCAATATAAAAAACAATAATATACATATGATTAGATAATTTTTTAAAAATATTTTATTATTTAATAATATTATTTAAAATGAATAATGAATAATAAATTAATTTCTGCATCATATAACCTTTTTCTTCTTTTTTTTGGAAATTCCCCATATATTTGTGTATTGTATGTTTTTAATACTGGGTAATACATATCAATTTTTTATGTGCTATTAAAAAAAATACTATTAACAACCTTTAAATTCCTTTGAATTTTATTTAATTTGAATAGTACTTAATACTAATAAAACTCAAAATTTGAGTTGCAACTCTGCATCCTGTTTGAGACACCTTTAGCTTAAATTATTTTAAATTCAGAAATGGAATAGGAATATAAAGGCACTCTAAATTCTTAATAGTGAACAGATTTCAGTCCGTACCTTAGAGACCAAAGCCTCAGCTGCAGTTCTATTATGATCTTAATCCTAACTCAGCCTTCCTGAGTATTACCCTTGTTGATTATTCTATTTCCAGGGCTAGACTCTTTACAGAATCACAGATTGAACCATTGCCAAGGTCCCCTGACTGTAAAGTGCCAGCAAACAAGTGGTGCATTTGAATGTTCTCATATACCTCATATACCAGTGCTGTCTCATACACAGTCAAATTGAAAAACAGTCTTGATTTCTCAGTGGAACATTGTGTTCCGTACATATGAGGCCCATTAGAGGTAATGCCTTGACCATTCGTGAAGGACAGGCACTTTGAATCAACTTCTTGTTAGTGCTTTTTTATCTGTGAGTGATAAGGACAGATGAAGAAGTGTTTGAAAAATGACAAATGATACCAGGGACCTATATAGTGAAATTGAATAGGTTGGTGAGGTGTGTGGATGAGGTGCCGCCACCATAAACACAAGGAACAAAAGAAGTAAACAATGCATTTTGTATTTTAATTCCTGCAGCAATGGCCATTCTTAAATCTGCTGATATTATTCAACAGCTTTTAATCGCTGAATTTTAAGTAGTTTATCCACATTTAAAATGCAATGAATTGTATAATTAAAGTAGCTTAGAATGTAAATCAGTGGGCTGGAAAGGCAGTAGGTAATTAAACAGTTTTCCTAGTGGAATAAAGTCCAATTGTCTCAGAAAAAAAAGTGAAGAAAAATCTGTTGAACAGGAAGAAAACATGTTTTGGTGTGTTTCTTGGTGCATAATTTGAGTCAGTAACAAATGCATGCGACTACAGCTATCTAGTAAAATCATCATCTTATCATTATTGTAATGATTTTAAGTATGCACTTTTGATGCAAGTAATTTTTTCCTCATTAAAAATGTCCCTACGGAAATGAATAGAACTTTTGAAAAATATGTGAGTTTACGTAATGTTAAACATGAGATGAAGACAGTCATATCAGTAGCTAATGAAAGCAGTTTTATTTTCTTGGAGCCAGTTCCTCTAGGGGACTTTCATATTGACACCATGTGACTTGTCGAAGACTAGTTTGTTCTTGGTAACCTGCTTGATTCACTGGCATAACAAACGTCACTCTAGAGCAGGGGTGCCCAACCCTGTTCCTGGAGATATACCTTCCTGCAGAGTTTAGCTCCAACCCTGATCAAACACACCTGAACCAACTTGATAATTACAGACAGGTGTGTATGATCAGGGTTGGAACTGAACTCTGCAGGAAGGTAGATCTCCAGGACCAGGGTTGGGCACCCCTGCTCTAGAGCATTATGCACAATACATTTTTCAAGTGCTGTAATGTTTGCAGTTTGATGGAGTGTATGTGAGCTTCATGCAGTTTTCTCTGAGAACACGGGCTGCTTTGTGGTCTGAAGTTGCAATTAAGATTTAGCAGATGGAAGCCTCACAATTAGTTGGGGGTGGTAATCAATTTCTGCCATTTACTAAGGACTGGAATGGTGCCATGGAGAGAAAAGCCTGCGTTTCGCGCAAGACCCGTAACGTGATTTCAATGCTGCTCCACTTCAGTATGTGGAGCTGTGCATTTGAACCATTTCTGAGTGCTCTTGCACCGCACGAACCTCAGAATGAAATGCATTACCCATACAAGCATCTTAGAGCCACTCGTCGTACCCTTGAGATGCAATCTGAAGCGATGCAATCTATTGGACATTGCATGTTTTTTTTTTACTAAAATCTTGTTTATTGGAATAGCCAATTAAACGTGTATTATCAAACTATAACAACATATGCTTTCGTGTTCATTGCTGTGCATTCAGCATATTGATTTCCAATTACACCATTTACAGGATGAGTATTGCACAGGACCATCATGTTATCTGAGGCACATATGACATGTGAATTGTGCAAGCGCGCATCTGTGTGTGTCTACTGTTGATGAGCAGATGTTTATGCTGATGAGAAGAGCTTAGGGAATGTGGCTTGCCCTGCTCTAGATGAGATGAGATTGGCATGGCTTTCTCAGCCCTCCACTCACGGCTCCTGTGGGCCACATGATGCCGCAGACAAGAGCATGTTATTACTGAATGCTATGGCGGTGTGAGTGCAAGATGAATGGGCGCCCACCGAGGAGTTGGTTATCATCTTGAACATCTCATCACTCTTTCTAACTAATCCTCTGTGCTGCTTTATTCAGGAAGAGCCAGGTGGCGCTTATTCAACGACACGGGATATGTCAGGAGTAAACCGCTCATACACCAACCGTCATCAGTTTAACAGGCCTCTACGTGCTCCTACACCCCATGAAGTGGCACACCAGACACCATTGAGGGTGCACCGTTGTATCTCCAAGACAACTCTTTACTGACCAATCCAAAAATGTTGGCTGGCAAATGCTGCTGTCCCCATATTGTCAGAGACTAACAATTGAACCTTTCTTTTTGCCTTGTACAGAAGAAGTAAAGGCCCTGATACATGCACAAAAAAAGTATGAAAAACCTAAGCAGTGGTATACTGTTAGCGAACATCCCAACACCACCATGCTGCTAAGAGTGGAGAATTACAACTTCAATTTCTACTATAAAGCAGCTCTCCAGTGTGTTCACATTACTTCTGACCCTGACAGACTGAACAGAAGAAATGAATCAGAGAAGATTTCCACATCAAAGAAGGTGGAGCTGCAGAGCACTAGGGCTGGGATGATAAATCGATGCAGAATCGATTCGTGGATCGATTCTGAGATTTTCAGAATGCATGGCGATTCCTCCGGAATCGATTCTGAGCTTAGATTTTAACAGCAGATGGCGTTCTAATCTAGTTTTTATCCGCACACTCAAATGCTCACGAGGAAGAGTGCTAAAGAGCGCTTGTGAGTTCGGCTGAGTCATGTAATGCTAATTTCACCTCAGCTCAGAATGCTTTTATGACGCAAGATTAATGTAAACACAGCCCACTTTGAACACCCTTGTAATTCGCTTCAACCTTTTCAAATTTTATGAATGATTATTTTAGGTTCAAGTGTGTGTAAGGATTTGCTGTTCAGAACTAAGCTCAGAATCGACTCAAGAAAGAATTGCGATGCATTCGGAAAATCTCAGAATCAATGCTGAATCATTTCTCGATTTGCGATGCATCGATTTATTTTCCCATCCCTAGAGAGCACACCTACCTATTATCAAAGTCCCTTTAAGGCAAGTCATTTCACTTGGTGGCCATCTTTGAAACTCCTCTCGGCCAGCTATTTCAGTCATGCAAGTACAGCTCTTATCTCTTTGAATGGAGAAACATCAAATTCTTCAAAGCTGTTCACTACGATTACAATTAAATGTCATATTTGAAATCACCAATGAAAACAGTTTTGTTTCTTATGCTCAAATAACATTAAAAAGCTTATTTTTCAGGCTTGACCAGCCAATGCACAAGTGCAGTCTTAACCGCACAGCTCAGTACACTGATTGCTCCTATAGCAACCGGAGCTTCTGCTGCAGTGATGCCATGACTTTAGCATTGGTTCTTTTATTTTTGATCTGTCATATTAACATAAATTAACACATAGATTCACCTACTTCTCCAGAAATACATGAAAGTAAGAGGGCAGTGAACTGGGAGAAAAACAGAGTAAATTTTACATTTACCTACACAATGTGTATTTGATTGATATAGAATAAAACACGTCTTCAAATTTTAATTGAAAGAATTAGTATTCCCTGCTGAAAAAGACAGCTAAAATCACACTAAGCTGGTTGGCTGTTCATAGCTGGTTTTAGCTGGTTGTTCCAGATGGTCTCCCAGCCTGACCAGCTAAGACCAGCCTGACCAGCTAAAGAAGTCGTCACAATCACTCTAAAACCAGCTATGACCAGGCTGAATGACCAGCTAAAACCAGCTAAGCAGCATAGGCTGGTTTTAGCTGGGATTTTTTTTTAGCAGGGTTGGCTCTTTCCATAGAAATCAGTGTGTATTTAACAAACTATAAATTTATTTTTTGCTAGTACTTAATTGAAATGTTTATTTAAATGTCTGAAATCTAAAATAAACTATATGTGGTTGAAAACACTGAACAGTTCTGATATAAAGCACTGAGCACGTCTGTCTCTGGCTCAGTGCCAGCCAAAGTGCGGCGTGTCAAAGGATTAAAATCGATATAACATTTTACTTAGCTAGTTTTAGATTAAAGTTTTTGTCGTCTGTGTAAAACTTTCCTGGGTATATATTTTTGTAATAAAAATAAGCTTCTGTTTCATAAACTTGGTATTTACCTTAGCTTATAGGGTATTTACTATTATATTTTAATATCATTATGCCTCAGTTAGCTAGTTATATATTAAGAGTTGTTGTTTTAGATGTAGCCTACAGATGTCTTGCTGCTGTGTTTAATAATTGATGTTCTTAAAATAGCATTTTGTTCCATAAATGCATTGTCTGCTGGTTTATTTAGCTACTTTTCAGTACATCACATTAATTATGCCACTTAGCACTGTATGGCTTTGAATGTTAAAGTGCAAATGAACACCTGACCACTCTTGTGGGTTTGCTACTGTTGCAATTAAAAATCGTAGAAGGGTAAAAACAAGCCAGGCAGACATTGGTATGATGTATGTAACACCGCTACAACAAATACAATTTATAATGGGTGTGTTAGATTTATAATGTGTGAATAATCAAGCATTGACAATAATCAGGCATCTTGGCAGCACAGAGGGGCCCCCAGATTTAATTCTGCTTAGGGCCCCATAAAGGTTTGGGCCGGCCTTGACTTGAAGTATCTGGGCCTTAAATTATCAGGAAAAGATGCAAGTTAGATTCAAACTTAGGTTGCCCACATACTAAAAAAACTAAATGTTTTAAGATGTAAAAAATATGTATTACAATATAATGTTTATGGTGAAAATTTATAATAAATTCAGCAAAAATATATAATAATAATAATGAATAAATAAATAAAAATTCTCATTCCTGTGTGATTATCACAGTATTTTAGTAGTGAATTTTTGTTAGTAGTGAACGTTGTTTGTTAAAAAAAATCTGCAGAAACTAGCCTAAAATATTGTAAATGTTGTTGAACCCAGAAAGGACTCATGTGTTTATTTTGTTTGGTCATTGAGCTGGACTAAAACACATCACTTACATGAGCACCATGGCTCAATGTGCATGAAATGTGCACAAACTACTAGACCACACCTTCAACCTCTTATACATTCACACTGAGAGAAAAATGTGCACTTCTCCTCACATGCTTCAACTTCTGTTCAATTTACTTCTTCCTTCATCTTCTTTGAATCTGCATTTAACAAGGAGAGATAAGACGGGAATGGACATAGTCAAAGCATTCATGGCGACTGTACGGCACTCGAAATACCACCTGAAACCATCATTGGTATTCCAGAGGGACTGAAAATGGCTCTCTGCAGTCCATCTCTGGTGGTCTCTCGAATTTTTTCTTTTTTTTCTTCTCCCTTTTCTATTCTTCATTCTATCACCTGGAGAGCAGGGGCGATGGGGAGGAAGTGTGCTTTAAGGGAAATCCTCTCTGCTTTTGTGGCAGAAGTCACAGACTCAGGCTGGCTGACGGAATGACAGGACAAAGCAGATATCCAGAGCGTGTCCCTTACCACGGCAATTGCAGCAACTTCGCACACTAGGTGTCATCGCATTTGTGAGTGTAGCGTGGTGTGACAGTAGAAAGATGAGTGTCTGAGGTGTCTACCTTTTTTTCCAATCATACAGTAGATAGGGTGAATACAAAGCTCTGCAGAGTCTGAAATCCAGACAGAGTGAAATGATCAAATTTGAACTTGGGAGAGCAGAAGGTAATGTTTTCCCCCCAAAGACTCTGAGGGTAATTTATCGCAGCCAAGAAAATTGATAGAACCCAGACCGCCCCCCACCACTACCAGTATGGGCGGCAGTGATTTCTTCTAAAGTTGTCTAAACTCAGCAAGACTTTATTACAATGAGCACTAGGCACATGTTTGGTCTTGAACGCCAATGTGTGAACTACAATGTAGCTGATACACGTTTTGGCAGGGCACTTTGGGTTTGAGCAAGTGTGGAGTGCTGATAACAGGCATAGTAGCTGCCAATCGGAGATTGTCTGATTAATCCAGATGAAAAGCAAACTATGGATGGTGTAGAGCAAGGCCTCAATTGGTTGGAGGCGATAGTCTAAGCCTCCAATCTCAACTGGTGGGTTGTGATAGCGACAACAGTGATAAACAGTGCTACACGCTAATAATTAAAATAAATAATTTACAAATCAAATATGAATTATATACTCTTACACAGAACTGAAGCCACAAGTCTCCTACTGATTTGCACAGGCTTGGTACAGTAGATTATGCCTTTTCCCCCTGTGGTCGTGGTAACAATTTGCATATTACTGGGCCTAGGCAGTTCTTGGCAATATTGTTACACCTTAATGCTTTATTTTAAACATATTGTGTTTACCATTGTACGATTTTGGTTGTTGTATCCTGAAGCAAAACCAGTTGACAACCATTATAATACATAATTCTTCATTAGTTATACACGTTTTCTCTAATGGCCGGTAATCCCTTGAATGTGTGGTTAGCAGACTTAAAAACATGTAATCTTGTGTCAAGGTTGTGAAACAACTTCTACTGAAATTTTAATTCACTTCCCTCTCTTCACCCACTGTTTATCCCATCTTTATGCCTGTTCATAAAGAGCATCGTTTTCTTGTAGCGAATGATCTCCGCAGCTACTGTTGACGTAAAGTAAAAGTTTAAAGTTTATGCAGATACAGCTGGCAGGAACAGGAAGCGCAGGAGGTGTACCATACCTAAGAGCATCCGCAACCTTTTGTTTTCACAATATGTTTTTAAACCGGCATCTGCTCCTTGCGACGAGTCCAGTTACAGCTTCAAAACAGAAAGAGAGAACTGCATGAGTGTCCCTTATGAACTGATGAAAATAATGTTGTTCCCAGCTGGTTTGTTCTGATGTAGTCTCAGTTTCAGATGGCATACCACCCACAGTCCATATTCACTTAACAACTAATGCCCAATGCATACAAAAATCTCTTCCAAGAACCGGAACTCCCAGCGCATTCTTTAAATCTTGTCCAATCAAATCAGCATTTCTAAAATGTATCTCTTACTGTAGTAACAGTAACTGTGTCTTACTGTAGTAACAGTAACTGGTTTTAGGACAGGAATGTTAAAGTTTTATATTAAATCTATTAGTGGAACTCTGTTTGAAGTAGGCTATAACAGTATATGCACTTCCATTTATCCCTTCCAGACTTACTCTTTCAACAGGCAGTACATCAATACACTGAGGAAAACCGCAACTTATTAAAGATTTTTAAATGATTATGGGCCAATAAAATGAACACTTTTGAGGAAGAGATATTCTCTGAATTTGGAATCTGCAAAGGTTAGCAGCATTAGAGTTTTGTTTGAGGCACTTTGTTGGAGTAGCAATAATTTTCCACCATTTTTACAGTGTTCTCTAAGCCATATCACAAATACTGGTTTACCAGAAGGTCCTCTGGCTGTCTAAGTAAAACAAGTTAAACTAAGTTAAAATATATTGGTCACAAGGGAAAAATGTCTAACTTTGAGACTAGTTAGGGTGTGTGATGGTCTAGATACCAACACTGGCATGAGTGAAGGTGTTCAACCAGAACCTAAAATGCAACATAATGCTGGTAAATAGTTACGCTGGTCTTTTCGATATAGGTCAGGGGTGTTCAATCCTACTCCTAAAGGGCCAACGTCCTGCAGAGTTTAATGCTAACCTGCTCCAGCACACCTACCTGAAAGTTTCCAATAATCCTGGAGACCTTGATGAGCTGGTTCAGGTGTGTTTATTTAGGGTCGGAGCTGAACTCTGCAGGACAGTAGCCCTCCAGGAGCAGAGTTGGACAATAAACTAGAGAGATGCCTTGGCAAGTTTTGCACTTAGACATGAGGTAAGGCATACAAACAAACAAACATATTCAGGGTTGAGTTGGAATAAAGCCTGAGCTCTGAGAGCATTCATTATCGGACAAAGCAAATGGCGCTTTAATGAGATTACTCCCGTAGACTATGCTCCAGAGACAAAGCAATCTCTGCATCGGTTGTCTTGTTTACAGCTAATGGTAACATTTCACAGCCCCTTCAGACGGACAGCTCCAGTGCATTATTGCAGTAATCGATCAGGGCCTCGGCACACACATTAAAGGCCTATTCATCGCTCCTGGACCACCCGCTTTTGCTCACACGTCACAACAACCCACTTCTCTGTGTTTAAAGAACTGAAAAACAAGCCTGTCCATGCTGTGTGAACATGGCTTGTATCATTTTCTTCTCACCTTAGGAGTGATGGTTTGACAGCTGCCTGTCGATATGATGTTAGGGGCTGCCCCTGATATGCCGCTGTCAGGATCTCTGTGGCGGCCCCGTTAGAACTGCCTGGAGTCGTTGTGGTCAGGTGAAAGTGTGCCATGGAAAGGTTAGGCTCGGAGCAACACTCATTTTGATTAATGGACCTCTCTGTACCCCTGAGTGAGCAATTATCAGAGGATCAGCACACTCGTTCATCACTGTAAAAGAAAAGCGGCTCGGCCTGTGCTGTGCAACCATACCCAAACTGCAGCACTGCCTCCTTACACCACCACCCCACCGGTTCAGGCCAAAAGAAGAGCGATGCCCAGCTAAAGAAGAAGAGGGGAGTTTAGTGGAGTGGAAAGCAGAGTAGATAAGGTTTCCCTTGAGGAATAACTCGGCAGCCTCTTGGATTTGCTCTCTGGCTGCGTCATGAGCTAATAATCAAGCCTCCTGCTTTCATCTGCACTGGTGAACGTGGTTGTCCACACCTTGTTTCAGAATACCCAAACACGATCATCTACATGATTCAACAGCCCATTAGCACAATGTGCTTCCCAACACGCTAGGTTTGGGTTACGCGGCAACCTATTTCCCAAATAAAAAATGTTTGCACAGGGCAAAACTCGCCAGTGCAACAAAATGAGTTAGTTTGTGCCAATATGCAGTGGCTGTCCTCAAGACTGTTTGGCTCTGATACTGTCACATTGTGAAAAAAGCTCATTATGTTAATCTGCACATCTTTTGAGAACATCTGGCAGATGACATGCATCTTTTCCTCACTCTGCCAAACATATTGACATTAAATGCATTATTACATTAGAAGTCAGCAATCAAATTCGCACTGACACATGATCAATATGTAATTTGCAGATGTATTATTCCTCTGGCCGAGTAACACATCATCGATGAGCCCACTTCAATAGGTTCACTTAAGCGGACCTGTGTAATTCTCTCAGACTTATCCATTGTCTCATAGGAATGCTCCAATCTGATTGGCTGGCTTTCTTCTGGGAGTAGAAATGGTTTTTTTTATTTGTCCGCCTGGAAATAAAGTCATGTTTACAAAGTACTGGTTTGATACATTCATTTAACCACTGGGTTTGCCAAAGATTTTTAGGTATCTTGATCTGTTCAGTTTTGTTTTGGAGCATTCATCAGCAAAGTAACTATATCTTTAAGCACAAATGTATATTCTGTATTGCTTTGAGTTTCTGTTATTTACTGGAGGTGCAGATACTCTAACCACAGAGTCTATAAATGTTTTTTTTTTTTTGGTTGGTAGGTTTATTGGGAAACTAGAGAAAAATATGTTTTATGATTGACCACATTTGCCCTTGAACTATCAGGAAACCATCAAATGTAACAGTCATGAATAATTTCCAGTCTTTAGTATTTGCCATTTTTAATACGTTTTAATTTTCCTGAGATCATCATAGTGGACGTGATCAAGTTTCAACATCTAGCTGATCTCAGCGTATACATGGAAACAGGATAAATGAGGCTGCTGCTCTTAAACAAGACACTATAAAGAATATAAATCAATTATAAAACCTTTGTGTTTTTTTAAATGGTGATTGAATGGTAAGTTAGAATTTGTTTGTTTTTTTTTACAAAATTTCACTTAATTATTTGTGAGAATCTGTTTTCATTACTGTCCCTCTTTACCTTAACATGTTATAAAAATCAATACAGTAGTTTCAGGGAAAATTTGATGGATTATGATCATTAATCTTCATAATAATATGAGCTAACATGGCATTAACCATGTCATATGACCGTTAGAGCCTGGATTTTTCCTGAAAGTCTGTAGCACAGACATGAGATGCATAGGGTAGCCTGTGTGTTACCCTTCGGGTGGTGGTTTCTAGCTGGAACAAGCAAGTCATTCAAATCATACACTGTTCCTCTTTTTCACAGTCCCTGTATGGATGAAGCACAGACACCATAATATTTTCAGCTGGAAATTTTTTTTTTTTACAAAATGTAATGACTTAGATGATTAATTTGAAGAGGATGAAAATTAATTGCTACCTCCAAGTGGGACCACTCTCAGAAATATAGTTTTATTAGTAAACCTCCTCTGCCTGTTGGAACAAAGCATGCCATCATCATTTCTAATCCTTAGACCTGATGATTTACCTGCTATTTACCTCTAACTATTAGTCAATTACTACACTGTCTTGTGGACCAGACCTCTGAGTTAATGGGTTTGGAGGAAGGCCAGGGTGTGATTTCTTTTCAACAGTCTAATGGGCTGTCTTGCGATGCATTTTTAATGCGCCACATTGAGTGCAAACCTCCTTTGCCAGCTATTGGGGTATTTTTCTCACATTGATTTTGTCTTCTCTTTTTCCCGCCGCACTGATTTCATTGCACTGAATATGCATGCTAATGCCTGTCCTTGATTTTCATAAGCTATTGTTAAGACAGGTGCTTCTCTAAAGACACATTCATTGGGAGACTGTAATGCAATGTGGGATCGTACTGCATGGTTGCTCGTTTTAGTTTCAAGTATGCCGATTTAGTGTTAGGAGCAGCCCTTAAAGGAACACACCACTATTTTTTAAAAATAGGCAAATTTTCCAACTCCCCTAGAGTTAAACAGTTGAGTTTTACCGTTTTCGAATCCATTCAGCCAATCTCCGGGTCTGGCGGTAGCACTTTTAGCTGCAGCTTAGCATAGATCATTGAATCTGATTAGACCATTAGCATCTCGCTCAAAAATGACCTAAGAGGTTCGATATTTTTCCTATTTAAAGCTTGACTCTTCTGTAGTTACATCGTGTACTAAGACCGACAGAAAATGAAAAGTTGCGATTTTCTAGGCCGATATGGCTAGGAACTATACTCTCATTAATAATAGGAAATTAATAATTAATAAGAGGAAAAATATAGAAACTCTTTGGTCATTTTTGAGCGAGATGCTAATGGTCTAATCAGATTCAATGATCTATGCTAAGCTGCAGCTAAAAGTGCTACCGCCAGACCCGGAGATCGGTTAAATGGATTCGAAAACGGTAAAACTCAACTGTTTAACTCTAGGGGAGATGGAAAATTAGCCTATTTTCAAAAATAGTGGCGTGTTCCTTTAAAATCACAGAGGTATCAAAGTGTAATCCTTTTAATTGATTTGCATGACCAGAAGTTGGCAAATTCTGACATCGATTTGTATCCATTTGTATTTCCATTCTCAACCCTTTGATGGCCAATTGTGCAGTCCTCGAATAACATAAGAGGTGTGATCATAACCAATAATACAGAATTCGGCTACCTCCAGCAATAGAATGACTGGGTCCATGCATGTGTATTGCATTTGCATTTAAATGATTTTAATCATTTAGTGATTTAACTTCAATACTAATGGCAGTTTTTCACAGACACAGTTAACACAAGGCCGTTTTGTCGTGAATGTAATACACTTACAAAGTGCAGTATAAAAAGCTGCCTTTAATGGCTTTCCTGACATTCTATTGCTTTTTAAGAGTGGAGTGAAACAGTTGAGTAAAGATCTGTATTTTGAATCTACATATTGCTTTCATGTCCTCTCTTTCATCTCCGTCTCATTCCCTTTCCTCTCTCTCTCTTTCTTATCACTCACTGGTTTGTCTCCATCCCTTGCTCACATCTTTATTTCATTCCAATTTTCACCCAGCACGATGAAAATGGAGTGGGAGGGCTGGGGAGCTGGATAAGATGGAAGTGGCTGAGAGGAGACAAAAATAAAACCCAATTTCAACAATAGCTCAAACCCCTGCCTCAGTGTCTACAGGAGGACAAACCAGCGACACCATCAGCAATTCCTGGAATTTTGCATTCCGCTGTAGGGAGTTTTTTGAAGCTCTATTTTTCACAGACGTCCTTGAAAATAAGGCAGGGACTTGGGTGACTAAACAGTTGTGGCACTTTAACCAGTACTTTAAATACTTTAAAAGTATTTATGTGAGAAAAAATAGAAGGTTATTCACTAACCACCTGAAACCTACTGTCACGAACCGATAATTTTGTCCCTGTTTTTCTTCTTCTTCTTCTTCTTTTTTGAGGCTACATTGAGGCGGGATTTTTCAGTCCCGCTCCCGCAAGAT